AAGCACCAATTTTTTTATTATTACTTTTTTACTTCCCTAAAGGAGAATAACATTGGGACATTAATTTAGTATTAGCACCATTTTAACTTTTTCTTATGCAACCTTGGTAAACATAAGACATTTTACAAAACATTTACTGACCTTTTAACATTAGCTCAACTTTTTTTATCCTGTGTACAGTATGAATGAATCACAGGGCAGCAACACACATCTGTTATTAAGCAACTGTCATACATAATAACTCAATTATAAATTATCACTAGACATTAGAATATCTTGTGCTCAATTTTCATAGAGGGATTTGGGATTTGTGCACCTATAATGGCACAGTTCTTCCTTTTTTACTCAAGTACACTTTTTATCATAAAAATGTAAAGTAAAATGAATATAAAGCCATAAGTAGAAAAGAATAGAACCAAAGTTTAGTCTCTTTTCTCCTCCACCAATAAGGAAAGTCACAGTTTGCAGGTGTGTGTGTGTATGTGTGGGAAACTGCAATAGCGCATTGACAAATGATTCTGCCGTCTGAAGCCTAATTAGTGGCATAGTGTCTGCTCCCCGCGGGGCTGCTGTGCTGAGCGTTAGAGACAGTCCATTCTCATTTCCTTCAGCCTTTGATATCAGACCACAGTCTGACGGGACACACAAAACCGACACACTGAGGCGTGATGGACGACCCAGAGCAGACAAAGCTGACTCTTCTCCATCTAGCGTGCACCATCTCGCTCTTTCACACACACACACACACACATACACGCACGCTGAAACAAAGTGAAAGGACACACACCAAATTGGCTCCAGTGACAGGACGGCTAATGTTTTCCCATGCAAAGTAAAAGGCCAAAGTATGAGACCACGCCTTCTGCTCCTAATGACGGCCAGCCCACCCTGATCATGCACCTGCAGCCTGGAAAAAAAAAAAACTCTGTTGGTCCTTATTAGAAGAAAAAAAAAGTCTGCTTTTTAAATGTTACAAATATTTGCTTCATTTATGATATTATACTGTAATAATCATGCATAAGTTGGCGGTCCATTCTTCATGGCAACCCTTATTTAATATATAGATTAGGCCAAAAAGAAAATAAATAAATAATCATATTCATAATGATTCTAACAGATGCCTTAATTTCTAAAACAGACTGTTCCAAATATTTACATACAATACTGGGTTTCACACAATCGATTTGTGTTGGGACAACATAAATGAATTAAGATAGGTTTATTTAGGACTGAACTATATTGAAACAATCTGACATTGCAATATTTTGTTTTGCTTTGATATATTTTGCTATAGGAATATATTTTTGCCTTATGATTTGAATAGATTATTCATAAATTTAGATTGACTGGAATGATCAAGTCTTTTTTTATACAGTACCTCTGCATAAAATATAAGAAATTACAAGCTAATATAAGTATGACAGAGCCAAAATTAATTAATAAATTGTGCTTAATGGCTTTCTGGGGTGTCTAACAGTTTTCAAATGACCTACAGATATTCAGATATCAACGGTAAAATAAAAATATTGTAATAATATTTTTGTCTTTTCATCTGTAATTAACTCCTGCGATGTGACTATTGTGGATACACGCATTACGATATCGATACTCAAATGATATGTTGTTCAGCCCTTAGTTGATTGAACATAAAACATTTAAGTTGTCTCCAAACAACCCTCAAGGATTGTGTTGTTTCAGCTCATTTTAAATAAGTAGTTTGAACAAACAACAAATGTTATTTTTGTGAGTGTATTACACTGGAGAAAATGCAGGGCTCTACACAATTCATTCATGTTGTCCCAACACAAATCAATTAAGTTAATGTAACCAATTTAAGGGCATTGAACATAAAAAAATATTTTTTCCCACAAAATCTTCTGAATTGCGTTGTTTAAGTTCATTTTGAATAAGTCGTTTGAACAAACAGCAAAAATAGAAAATGAAAAGAAAATTAGTAGGAAAAGGTAATGGGAGTTCATGATGTCAGCCTAGTGCAAAACAAGTTATTCAAAACACTAATAATCAATCTGATCGCTTACTGCATTCAGCAGATACATATTCTCAGTGCTCTAAAAACAAAAATAAATAAATCTCATGTCATGCACAGATTTAAATGTAAAATCTCAACGCAATCTCACGGCAATTCGTTACTTTTTGATTTAGTGGCTAATTCGTATGAATTTGTATGATTTAATTCGTACAATTTAGTACGATTTGCGCATCTCCCAATGACGTTAGGGGTTGGGTTGGGTGCCACGCCTCTTTTTTAAAACCGTTCATTTTTGTACGACTGAACTCGTAAGAATTCATACGAATTAGCAACTAAACTGACAAAACGTAAAATACTCACGTTTCTTTGTGAGATCAGGCTGAGTATCTAGCATCAAATTCTTTAAGGGATACAATTTATAGATTTTAGTTGCACGATTAAAGTCTGAGGAAAAATCACGGTTTCATGGTTATCAAGATTATTATGCATTCACTAATTTCAAAACAATACTAGTTCAGAAAATCATGAAAACTCCTTATATTTTAAAGTGTTATTTATTGATGCTTAGTAACCAAATAATACAGCACAAAATGATAATAAAAACAAACAATACTCCATTTCTATTTGGACTTAAAAATAAGTGAAAAGTTTTTGCCATTTAAACATTAGTAATAATTGAAAATAAATGACAGAACAGTGAATAAATAAAATAAAAAGAAATAAAAAAAGTATTTGCCTAATGTATAAATCTATAGTATTTATAGTAAATCTAAGTATTTCCCTTTTAAAGAGAACAAATGTAGTCAAAGGATGCTCAACCTCTGTCTGAACATCACTTTTAATCAATAATATTGGTTTTGGCCTGCAATGAACTATTATTTTGCTAATTTATCAAAAGTGCAAAAAAGTGGTAAACTAGGCATGTCCTTACTTAACTGCTGTTTTCTCACCACATTTTAGTTTTGAGCAGTTCCAGTGTTATGGATGTGACATTTGCAGTAAAAACTCAAAACATAAATTTTCATCGAAAGTATACGTTAACATTATATTGAAACTTTAGTTTCTATTTTCCAGAACAACTAACCACAGAGTTACGAGACCATAAAAATATCAATCCGTAAACATGTTTTGTACTTTAAATGAGGAAAATAAACATGCGTTATGGATGTGACAAAAAAGTCTGTTGGCTTACAGTATACAACATACTTTGTAGAAATTCTGTGAATTAAACTGCACAACCCAAAAGAAACAATATTAATCAAAAGGATACGAGTTGGCTCTCTATTTAACAAAAATGATTGATTTTATTTCATTTCATGTTTTCACATTTATGAGGAAAAAAATGACGTTATGGATGCGACATCTCTCCATTATGGATGTGAAATTGCCACTTGTGTAACTTTGTTAAATCAAATAGAATAGTTAAAAAAAACATTAACGGATACATTTTTGTGTATTTCTAAAGTACTGTAAAATATTTGCTTACCCAAAAAACCCATAAACGGTTTCCATATTTTGGTGAAAACCAAATTTTTTATGGCAAAGTTAACGTTTGCACAGAATTGCTCTTTTTAATTTTGTAATTAAGAGATAAACAAGCAGCTCATATTAAAATATTTGCCAGAAAAAGTTTTTGTTTTAATAATATTCATTCATTCGTTCATTCATGCCAACTATTCTGGCATATGTTTTATACAGCAGATGCCCTTCTAGCTGCAACCCAGTATTGGGAAGCACCAATACACTGTCATTCAGACACATACCCATCCACTACGGACAGTTTAGTTAATTCAGTTCACCTATAGCGCATGTCTTTAGACTGTGGGGGAAACTGAAACACCCAGAGAAAACCCACACGAACATGGGGAGAACATGCAACCTCCACACAGAAGTGCCAAATGACCCAGTCAAGACTTGAACCAGCGACCTTCTTGCTGTGAGGCGACAGTGCTAACCACTGAGCCACCATGTCGCCCTGTTTTCTGATTTATATTTTATTTATTATACTTGTTTTCTTAATTGTTTGTTTTGCCATGAAAATAGCCTGAAATGCTGACATGGCAGTACATAAAACATGCGATACGTTACAATACGAAACGCATGTATGTTTGTCATTTCACTGTTAGCTTGTTCACGTTTATCAAACTTCAAGACTCACTCAAAAATTTGTAGAATTTTTTTCCACACTTGTGACATTTCTGACGTTATATTTTGGGCGTACTACTAAGCTCAACTTCTGCGTCATACTTTTATTAAAGACAATGTGTCCAAGAGTGATTCAGGAACCACATGAACCCTACTCATGATGGAAGAAAACAGTGTCTCTTCTGTCCCTGCTCTGTTCAACCCAAAGATGGTTCATCCTGTCTTCTTAAAATGAATGTAATTGTTTATATAGGCTGTATGTGACTTTCCGGGCACCTGGAAGCATCATAAATTACCATAGTCTGAGCCAAGTAATTGTCCCTCATGGAACAGAGTGAAGATGTCGTCTCCCCCATCGTGACATCTGCCGAAAAAGCCACCTTGAATGTGCTAACTATGTTCTTCTAGCCCTGACATTTGGACATGGAAATTTATGAAAGCCATTTAGAATACTCCAGTAAAGGTCACTGTGTACAATTAGATGCACAGGTGTCAAGAGAAAGAGTCCTCATTTCCATGTGATTGTGGGCTTTTGTAGCAAATTTCATGCACTTTATTGGTCACAGCTAGTGCTTGGGGTTGGTATATGTTTGTGTGTGCGTGTGTATGTGTGTGTCTGAACTCGTGGCTGTCAAAAAGGCATGCAGCAGCAACCTAGAATCAATAAAAGTCACATATATCTGTTTAGTAATTGCATGTTTACTATTCAGGGGCATCTCAAAGGGTCTAATAAAAATGCAAATTGAAGGTGTAAATTTTGCTATTAATTTTGAGGTCTTTTATACTATTCTTTGCAGTGCAGATAGTTTTGAAAAGGTTTTTTGTGTGTGGTTTTACATTTTTGTGTCGTTCTTGTCTTCCTCAGCCTACACTACTGTGTCTGGTGTGAATGGGCCACTGGTTATTTTGGACAATGTCAAAGTAAGAACTTTTTTGTGTTTAAAAATGACGTAAAAATATAAGAGATTTGATTTTGTCTTTTGTTATAAGTTTGTTTGTTTGTTTGTTTGTTTTTTTGTTATTTTTAAATGACAATGCATAATGTGACTAATTGTAACTTATTTATAAAACATTAAAATAATAACAAATGTTATTGAAAAATGTTACATAAATTACATAAAATGATCAACCATTCAAAACTTAAGCATTAATAAAAGTTTTATAATAACAATAATAATGACATTATTAACTATTATTTCCATTATTCTTATCATGGCTACTTTTATTTGTAAAAAAAAAGATGTGTTCATCTTTTTAAAACATTTTGAGGACTCCAATATCTAAAACAATCCAGATTATTTTTTGTTTTATTTCATTTATATTTAGTTTTATTTCATTTATATTTTATTTTTAAATGGCAGTGGCTTGTGGATTTTTCTTTTGCACCTTTCAATGTTCAAATCTTTAAAAGTCAAAATATTTCAAATGTGAATTTTTTTTTAAAAGATGATATACATGTAAAAATATTCGTTGATATATGTAGGAATGACTATTGTACACCTAAATGTTTTAAAGATTAGATTTTAGAATATATATATATATATATATATATATATATATATATATATATATATATATATATATATATATATATATATATATTATTCATTTACACAAAATGCACAACCATTCAAAACTTTAGGATTAATACAAGTTTAATAATAATAATAATAATAATTAATAATATTATAGTTTATTAATAATAATTCAAAAATGATAATTCCTTTTTTCTCATCATGGCTACATTTATTTGTAAAAAATGTTATTCTCTTTTTAGAAATTGCAAACAATCTAATCCTTAAACCAATCCTGGTTTTATTTTATTCTTTTTATATATTTTATTTTAATTTTATTTATTTATTTGGTTGAACATAATTTATATTTTTCTGTGAAAGCTATAAAACATTTTTTACATATTTTTTAGTAAGTTATTGACCATTTTTGATCTTGAATTTATTTGTACAGTATTAGTTAAACTCTTCAAGTTTCATCTGTCACTTTTAACCTAATGCTGAACAAAAGTATTAATTACTATACAAAAAATAATTTCTTCATATGGTAGCATATATCAATCCTCATCTTCATCTGTCTTCATTGCCCTTATTTAGTTCCCACGTTACGCAGAGATTGTGCATCTTACCCTTCCTGATGGGACCAAGAGGAGCGGGCAGGTTCTGGAGGTCATCGGCACCAAAGCTGTCGTTCAGGCAAGTGCAATCACATTTTTAAAAAATGTTTAAATAATCATGTTCCAATGCTTCTGATCTAATCAGTAGCCACCTCTCAGAGTCACACAAGCAACTGCTAATGGTGACTCTTGTATCAAAATGTAAGACCTCTTTTGGTCAATCTGTTTTCTCTATTAAGGGAGCCAAATTGTGGAATGATTTACCTGCTAGTCTCAAAATTAGAAAGTAATATTAATGTTTTTAGTAGTGTACTAAAAAAAATGTTGAAAACAAAACGGCAGTGTTTACACAAATACTTTACTATTAGTTTGTTTGATCTTGCCGCCTTTCAATTAGCCTTACAGCAATTTTTTGTTGAAGAATTATAATGTTGTTTATATGTTCATATTTTATTTTCATTTTATGTCAAACCTCACATGGACAGGTGTTGAGAGTTATCAAGTCTGCTAAAACACTTAAACAAATGCATTCGGTTGTCCAGTGTAATTGTGATGTCCATGTCAAATGAATGAATGAATGAATGAATAAACAAACAAACAAACAAACAAACAAAAAAGTTATTTAATAAATGAATAAATAAATGTATGAATGAATAAATAAATAAACAAATAAATCTACATAATTAATTAATTAATTCCAATAAAAAAAAGTTCTCATTCAGAATGCAACAGTTCTCTATATATATATTTGTTTAGTACACATCATTGATTGCACAAGTAAAGATTAGTTCAAATCATAAGTAAAAATATCGCCATTTTGCGTCCATCAGGTTTTTGAAGGAACCTCGGGTATTGATGCTAAGAAGACAGCCTGCGAGTTCACCGGTGACATCCTGCGCACACCAGTGTCTGAAGACATGCTTGGTAACTTATGCTCAATGCTTATGATTAATCAGTGCTCATGTGATTCTTCGTAATCACTGCGTATGTCTATTTATTTCAGGACGTGTCTTCAACGGGTCAGGTAAACCCATTGACAGGGGTCCTACTGTTCTAGCTGAGGACTATTTGGACATCATGGGTAAGGAACTTTCTTCTTTTAAACTTTAGATAGGAACAAGTGTCTTCTTAAGAGACGTATAGTTGAATGAGGAATACTGTGATCTAATTAGCTGAGTCTATTTTGAATGAAACCAAGCTTTTTATGCTATTTTTAATGTTTGTACAAGGATTAGTTTTTAACAGCATATCTTGCTAATTAACAATTAGTCTACCCCCAGCAAACGTAAACATCCCCATTGTTTTTACACTTAATGATGCTTTCATTAGATTTTCTCTGGTTTAATTGAAGGGCCAGCACGCTAGAATATGTTCATAACTGCTAAAAATGTCGCTTTGTTGGCATTTGAATATTTAGAGAGGTTGAATGGGAGTTTTTGTGTGCTTTTTAAGCCATTCACTGACCTCATGACCCTGATCTCTGCTAAGCTGAAATGGCAAAGGTGATCTTTTGAGCTATCAAAGGTATACAATAGCAATTCAGAGCAGCATTTGAATGAGCCCAATGGATAAGACGGGCCGTTATAAAAGGTTGATCAGGCCTCAAGGTCACACCACTCCAAACAGTTTTTGACGTGCTTATATGCTGCACGGAGAAAACATTTTCCTACTGTACAATAGAAGCCTTTAACTTTTGCCATGAGCGGTCAATGTGGATGTGTTTTAGCTCGAGAGAATCTTTCTTCCATTAGTCCTCTCTTTTCTTCTTTAAAAAAACAGAAGATGTACCTTTAATGTGAGCAGGAGTTCCTGTTCATGAGTCATCACTGTTCTCCCTTTGACTGTTTTTAGGTCAGCCCATCAACCCACAGTGTCGTATCTACCCAGAGGAGATGATCCAGACTGGCATCTCTGCTATTGATGGCATGAACAGTATCGCTCGTGGCCAGAAGATCCCCATCTTTAGTGCTGCTGGACTGCCGCATAATGAGGTGTGCCTGTCTAACAGCACTGCACATTACACAGCAAAAGTTCTTACTCTGCATGTTCGCTGTTATCATCCATTATGGATCTTTGATGGACTTTTTTCTCATTTCCAAGGTTCTCAGAAGCAAAAGTCATAATAGGTGGATAATATTGTGTTAGGGACATACAAATACAAAGAGACTTATGATTATAGCACTCAGAAGAGAGAGATGTCGTCACATTTGCCATTACTCCATTAGCACAGCTTTAGAAATGCAATGATTATTTAACAATTTACAGTATTGAGCTATATATTTATATATGTAACAACTCTGTTTGCCATGGTAATACCTGGGATCATGTACAGAAAGTGTTATCTGTTTGAAAAGGCTGGTAGAGAATTATATTACTTAATGTTTGTCATTCCAGATGACATGGCTAAACTTCTAAAGTACATTACCTGTGTTTCAGCAAAACTCTTGCTGGGGCTACATGATTCTGGCTAAAATAAGATTCACTTTTTTGCTTAAAATCACGATGTTGTCATTATTCTGTAGATGTAAAATAAAGGTTAGTATGAGTAGCCTATTAATGTTGTTAATCTCAAACATGATAAAACAACAAGTTTGCGGACATTTTTCTGATTACAAAACATATATATGAATATAGAAAATGTTATATGATTTACGATAGTATTAGGTATTAGGTAACCTATGTGTGCAATCTGACACAATGACACAAATCATAAAAATAAAGCTTCTTTATTTTGGTCTCTTGTCAAGACAAGGACTGCGTCCGAAACTGCATACTTCCATACTATATAGTACGCTAAAATCAGTATGCGAGCCGAGTAGTATGTCTGAATTCATAGAATTCGAAAATCAGTATGCGAGAAGTACCCGGATGACTACTACTACTTCCGGCGAGATTCTGAAGTGCGCATCCCATGCACGCTGCGCTATCCCATGATGGTCCGCGAGCGAATTCATGAGTGGGATTAAAGCGACGTAATTGACGCATGTAGGTTCACGTGACCATGACAAAATGACGGCTGTAGTACGTCCGAATACCATTCATACTTTTCACGTTCATACTGTATAGAGCGTACTTTTCTAACGGTAGTACGTAGTAAGTAGTACGTTTAAATTCAAATGCTGTACCTACTGAGTAGTAGGCGGTTTTGGACGCAGCCAATATCTACAACATTAGGGCCAAAAAAGGTTGTCTTACTTATTTGTATCCACGATCTTACTTTCTCTCAAATTTCGCTCCTTAGAGCATCTGACATCATGTAGGCTACCTCACTCAGGACATGCGTTAGGACTTCCCCTGCTTAAAGCATGGATCGCCGTAAGCGCTTTCTCTTGTTAACTGCAGGGAAAAGTTTAAACGAAAACATTTATCGATTTTACGTAGATCATGATATCAGCAATACATGTAAAGCAAAAATGTCCCTCATTTCGGTAACATCCAGTGGCCGTCATTCTTAAACCAATCTCCATCATTGTAAGCTGCTTGCTGTTCTGTCTGTTCCACTGCTTCGTTTGTTAGATATTCGTTGCTCTAACTTTATTTTGCAGTATGAAGTGCGTTGAACACACAAAACACCCGGTTTGCACCACAGTATGTCTAATCCTATCTTTGCACTGACTTCACATGTAAAACACTTGCGCTTCATGTGCATCTGCTTACTGCACAGGCTGCAAAACAATTGCCCTCCTCTCATGTAATGCAATGATTGTGAGGGCGCAGGTGAGATGTCGTTTTTGAGAGACACTCAAATACATCACATGCGCTGGGTATGCAACATCTATGAGTCATGTAAAACAATACTTGCAAACTGATATAAATATAATTTGATTACATGGTTTGGAATTGGATGTTTTATGAGATCAATAACGTTTCAATTACAAATTTTGCTGGACCAAAAACTAGCGGGTCTGTTATATAGGCTAGAGTAATTATACAGAACCAGTAAACATTTATTTCCATGCACAACACTGCGTTTGCTATGAAAAAAAAACATCAAATGCTTGTTGTAATCTTAACTCTAAAATGCGGTATAATCATTTAAATGATGTGTTCATTCGGTTGCACTTTCACTGCCGAGCGCGCTCATGTCATGGCTGCCGTCACTTTTAGGAAAAAACATGCATGAAAAATCATACTTCCTTCACGGCTCCAAAACAATTGCTCTGTGCAACAAACTAAACATTATTTACAACATTATTACTTGTTATTCACAGACTATGCAGGTTCTGTTCACTAAAGTAGACATCACTCTTGGTAGTAAACCAACAGTGCGTGTGATTTCGCCGAGAATACGTCATTACATTAAGACAGAAATGACTTTTTACCCTATGAATACAGTATGTGACACTATTTGAAGTAGTCCATGTTTCTGAACAATGTATAAAACAGTGTAAAGACTAATGCGACTGCCTTAACGCTTCTCTCCTGACCTTGAAATTATAATAGGTTGAATTATAGAAAAGCAGAATTAAGATTGTATGTAGAGTCTAATCGAGATCATGATCTTTTTTCAACTAATAGTGAAGCCCTAACTCTTGCCTCAACACAAAAGCTAATAGCTTTAACAATAGCTAATAGCCTCATATTTATCATTTGTAAAATATATACTGCAGGAATGTGACTTCATCCAGAACCCAATTCAGGAGCAGATTGCTCAATGCAGGCCGTGCTGTTTGTCGGTGTGTTTCAATGATTTTCATTAAATCTAGAAAGATTTATTTAAATTCCCTCATTTGAAGTGTTGTGATCAAATGTATTGTGGCAGGACTGAAGCAGCGACAGCGCCTTTTTTCGTGTTATGCTTGCGAGCGAGACAAGGCTGTGTGATTAACGTTAATTTGAGAGGGATCTGTAATTGATTTCACCCTGTGGTGTTTCTGTGGAAACGGCGAGGTGGGTCAGGGTTCGTTTCATCACATTCTCCTCTCCTGTGAATGTGGGAAGAACCGGTATGATTTCGAGAGCTCTAGAGTAAGCAAACAAAACCAACCACTTAGTAATGATCAATACATCTAGTACATGCTGTAGATCAGCTGGTTTGTTGAGTTCCTGGATAAGGATGATGTCCTTGCTGAATGACGAGAACTACAAATGATTCTTGAACTCTAAATTGGTTCCTCAAAGTTTCTAATAAGAGAGGCAGAGGTCGCAGTCATTTTCTTTGACACCAGCTGACATGAATGGATAGAAAAACATACTTTTCATGGCTTTTAGCGAGGGATTGCAAGGTCTTTTAAAGTGTACAACAGCACAATTCATTATTATAACGAGGTTTCTTGTGTTTTTGTCATTTCTGTGGCCATAAACAGAATAGTACACAGGCTGTTATAGTTAGTAATACCCACCAGCTATGACTGTAAGTGACTCAGCTGCCAAACTTATCTTCCCCCAGGCTGGAAACTGAACGTAATAACCAACGACATGAGCTGTTAAGGATATAAGTAGGCTGCCTTGTATCGAGTTGGAACAGTATGAAGTGTAGGAAGGTCAATGATGTCTACTGTTTTGTATCATAGATAGTTTGCTAGTCCTCACAGTCTGGTTGACTCTCTAAACTATAATTAATTTCTTATGAAGTAGTTTAGTGAAGTAGCTCTTAGTAATTCAAGGTCATATCTTTTCTAAACCTCAGTGCCAACATTCTTCATTAGTTTCGATGCCGTCTTGGGATATTGTTTAGAGTTATAAATTTACAGTGCCGAACTTCAGTCAAGTGGCTTAGACATTTAAATACTGAGGTTGTTTGCAGAGTAAAAGGTTTTCAAGTCTCATCAGTTCTGAACTTTGAGGAAGACTGAATAATTCGGAAATCATTGACTCAGTTATGTTTTTTTTTCATTTGGATATATAGTTTGGTTTGATGGCTTTTCAAAAAGTGTACCTAAGAGATTTTTCAGGGCCATTCAAAATTTAGTGTGCTTTTTTCTTTAAATATTTATTAATTTACTTATTTGCTAGGGGTGTAACTGTACATGTTTTCATACCGAATCATCAAATGAAAGTGTGAGATGGAGCGTTCAGGGGGCGTTCTGCCATGTTGCCATTAAATAAAAGCGTTTTCATGCCTCCGAGTTTTTCTGATTTGTCCACTGCTTGGAGCTGACATTGATCTTGGCACAGTGTCTAAAAAAAACAACTTTCAAGTGCAAGTCGCTGCTAAATACAATATAGTATAATGCTCATACATATTCTTCAAGCATGTTTGCATAGAAAAACAATGGAAATATAAGACAATCGTGTGAACATAACCCAATCTGTGTCCCTTTATAGACGTGCACAAGAGCAGTGATTGAACAAGAGTTTTCTTCTGCATTTATAGCAGATCTTTTCAATAATTGAGAATTCAGTTTTGTGGGCATCACAGAGGCGCAGTGGGTAGCACAATCACCTCACAGCAAGAAAGACACTGGTTCAGTTGGCATTTCTGTGTGGAGTTTGCATGTTCTCCCCGTGTTCATGCAGGTTTCCTCCGGGTACTCTGGTTTCCCCCAAAAGTCCAAAGACATGTGGTAGGTGAATTGGGTCAGCTAAATTGTCCATAGTGTATGTGTAAGGAATGAAAATGTATGGATGTTTGCCAGTGATGGGTTGCAGCAGGAATGACATCCGCTGCGTTAAACATATGCTGGATAAGTTGGCGGTTCATTCCACTGTGGCGACCTCAGAATAATTAAGGGACTAAGCTGAAAAGAAAATAAATGAATGAATGAATGAATTTTGAATTTTATTGAATCCTAAATTTAATGCACAATTCATGTTTTTTCTGTTGTTTTTGTTTCCTAACCTGTGAAATTTTAATGCACAATCTCTGATTTTTTTTTTTTTTTTTTAAGTTTTATTTTTTATTCTATTTACAATTATATCACAAAAAGCTTTTCAGTTCTGTAGCTGATTGCAGCAAAATACTTCTGCATATAAACATAAAAAGGCAGGCACTGGGTGTTTGTTGCTTATTCCTGTTGTATCAAACCTATATTGAACCATGACCCCAAAACTGAGGTACATACCAAACCGTGACTTCTATGTATCGTTACACACCTGTTATTTGACCTTTTCAGTGAAATGAACAGGACCTTTTTTTCGTTCATCAGTTATAAACAGGTTATATGTTATCATACATTGACCTATAGATTATCCTATATAATTATAATCATTACTTGCATGTTTGTAATTCAATAATTAGATCAAATGTTGAAGTGATTGGTAATACAAATTTCTAATCAGCAAATTAAATGTCATCAACTCAGTGGATTTAGGAATGAATACATGATTAGGATTCAAACCCAGCATCTGACCGTTTTGAATTTGGCTTGGTTGTTGGTGTCTGTTGATCGGCATTTCAGAAACGCCCAGTACTGGCATTTTCATTTAAATTCATGGTTATTTCTTTGACACTTTTACAATGTAGATTGTGTCAAAGCAGCTTAACATCGAAGTTCTAAATTGAAACTGTCAGTCCAGTTTTCAGAGTTTTAAGTTCAGTTTAGTTCAGTTCAGTGTGATTAATTTTCACAGCTGGAAGTACAAACGCTAAAGAGCAAATCCATAGGCTCCACAAGTCCCAAACCAAGCAAGCCAGTGGCGAGGAACAAACTTTACCAATTGATGAAAGTGAAAGAAAAAAAGAGAAGCCAAGTTTGGAGAAAACAAGCTCAGTTGGGCAAAAACTTCTCGTGCAGAGCTACAGTCTAGGTGCTGGAGACTGGAGAACACTGGACATCCATTGTGGAGAACTGCCTGGATTTTCATATATATCTAGGGTTTACAGAGACTTTATTTGGTCTGAAAAATAAAAAAGATAATCTGTCAGTAGTGTCAGTTCTGTGGGTGAAAATGTATTGATGCCAAAGGTCAGAGGAGACTGACCAGACTGATTCAACTGACATGGCAACAGTAACTCAAAAAAAACACTACATTTTGCATAATGCAAAAATAACCAATAACTGTGAATTGTTTTTAGTTTAACTACAGGAACAGGGTTATGACACCGTCAAGAGTCGACAGTTACAAGTTAACAAGTACTTCACGTTTGTTTTATCAGAATATACTGCTTTAACTAAAATTAAAATAAATTATATTCTGCTATTAATAATAATTTTTTAAATACAGTGTATATTTAATAAAGTGTAAAAGTATAAAATTTTTATTCATATATTTTTATTGTATCAAATAGAAAAGATTTATAATATTGGTAATTAATTTTTATTTTGTTTATTTTTTTTAATGGCTGTGCACAGTTAGCTGAATTTAATTTAGAATTATGAATAAGTAAATGTTATTACCTTTGAATTTGCCATGAATTTAACCTTTGATACAGATATTGCGTAAAACAATAAATAAATAAATAAATAACAACTACTGGTTCAGCCTGAAGGAACCTGTTTCAAGTCTAAATGAGTGAATCATCAACTACATTCATCGAAGATTCAGTTCTGTCATGGTAACAAGATGAATAGGACAATAGTTTCACATTCAAATACAGGGAAAAAATGTACTGTTGTCAGTATAGAGACTGTGAAGAATAAAGCTCTAGTGATGGTGGAGTTATAAAATCGTATGATCAAAAGCCAAGGCTGAATGGTGTGAACTTCCAGCAGCCCAAGTGTAAAGTGGGTTTCAGTGTCTCACTAATGAAGGCGCTGTGCTGTGATATAAAAGTTTCTCGTTTCATTAAACAGGAGTCGTGGGGTCACCGCCGGCTTTATCCCCTCAGAGGAACAGGTGTTCAGGGTCAGAGTTCAGTCATGGGTCAGGCCGGATTAGACGTCCAGGACTATTACATTAAGTGATAAGCGTGAAATTCCTCATGCTTATAGTCTTAATCTCTTTGTTGCAAATATATATCCACGTACACACGCTTAGTACATTATACAAACAGCTTTCACGTAAAATTAGGTTTTTATTTTACCCATACTTTGTGTTTAATTATTAGTGTATAGTTATTAAGGAAATTCCATTATACAGTTTTCTTTTTTTTATTTATTTATTTATTTTTTTGGATAAATTCGGTTGAAAAAATGTATCCAGCAAAATTATACGTTTAAACAGGAGATTTTCTACCTTTCCGATGGTTGGTAAAATATTACTTTTTAAAAATTAAAATCTATTTTGAAAGAAATGTCAAGACTGGAGTATTGATGCTGAAAATTCAGCTAAAGTGAATTTGCATTAATATTAATCTTCTCTTCAACAACATGCATATGAAGTACTACTAACGATGCTCATGTTGCCGGGATAAATGCTGTTCTGGTATGAATCTTCAGCTTTGCCATCATGAGAAATAAATTGACATATTTTGTAATTGAAAAATGACCATTTTAAAATGCTGCAGTAAAGATATAATAAAGGTTTTACTGTATTTAAATTTTGGGACATGTTTTAAAAATGATTAAAAGTCTTATCGTACACAAACATTGAAACGATGTTATTCTATAACATATGTTTCCACACTAGCAAGGTTTAAGCAGATTTTAAAAACTCATCTTTTTAAGACTTCACTTTTAGATTATGGAGCATCCTAATGTGTCTATATTTTATCATTTTTCTGTGTTGAATTTTTGTATTTTATTACATGTTTGATTTCTCTGTTGTTGTTGTGCCTTGGGTTTTAAAAAAGCGCATTATAAATAAAATGTATTATTATTAATATTAATATTATTATTATTGTACCTATTTTACTGGGTAAAAATTTTAATTCTAATTGTGACTCAACTTGTTCAGTAGAGTTGGCATAGGTTTGCTAAACTTTAAAATGCATTATATCCATTAAAAAAAATTTATTAATGAAGATACACCTTTAACCCTTTTTTGCTTCTGTGTTTCCTTTGATCATTAGATTGCAGCCCAGATTTGTCGTCAGGCTGGTTTGGTGCAGAAATCCAAAGATGTGACTGACTACAGTTCAGAAAACTTTGCCATCGTCTTTGCTGCTATGGGAGTGAGTGATTTTTCAAAGTTTTTCTTGTGAAACTGTTTCCAATATTTTTTGCTAGTACTTTGGTTTAAGTACTATATCTCACTATTAACTAGTGGCGTATTTGCTGCCTGTTATTAAGATATTAGCTGTTAATTTGTACTTATAAAGTACATAATTGTACTTATACATTACATATACAGTACCTAAAACAAACAGAAAATTGTGCAGATAATTAAACATTTTGATAGTTAATGATTTGTTAATAGCCAGAATTGTACCTTAAAATAAACTTTCTTTTCATTTTCCTTTTCTTTTCTTTCCGTTTCTTTTTCCTTTTTCTTTTTTTTTCTTTTTCTTCTTTCATTTTTCTCTTTTTCTCATCCTTTTTTCTTCTTTTCTTTTCTTCTTTTCTTTTTTTCTTTCCTTTACTTTTCCTTACCTTTTTCTCAATTGCTTTTCTTACTAGATGTGTGCTCTTTTTCTTAATCACAAAAGTAAAATGTGCTGTACATCTAAGTCCCAATACACAAGTCAAATGCTTGTACGAATCTCCGGATGCTTGTGTAAAATGATCCTCTCATTTGACCAAATGTAAAATTGTGTCTGTTTTGTTTGAGCGGATGAATGTTGGTCCTCATGGGTGGCTTAATCCTGCTCTTCAGCACCACCTTAACCTTCTGGCCTCACCTGTCTGCTTTCTCTGCAAAGCTTTGTTATTGTCACCTGAGTGGCTGCGGTCTGTCCTCTCAGACAGGCATTACCTGCGTCAGGTGTCAGGTTCACCTGTGTATTCAAGTGTGGAGGGCTTCCATTAACCCATGCTTGAAATGTCACTGACCCAGCCTTGTGTCCTGTGGCCGCTGGGCTCCTGATGCCGACTTTATGGCTAATGCATTGGCTTTTGACACACTGTAACTCTATATCTTGATTTCACATGCAGGGTTGTTAAAATGCTAAACCTTTTCTAAAGGCAAAAGGAGCTTTCCTTTAGCAGGAAATATGTTTTAAGAGGTCATTTAAACTGAAGAGTGGAGATTTTTGTTTAACAATGAGCAAGAAAGTACCTGACATTGTCAGTTTAAAACAGTCTGGGGAAACGGGAAGTAAAGGACTTAGTCTGTTCAGAGTTTCTCATGGTTGTTTGTTTGAATTACAGGTCAACATGGAGACAGCACGTTTCTTCAAGTCAGACTTTGAGGAAAACGGTTCCATGGACAATGTGTGCTTGTTTCTGAACCTGGCCAACGATCCTACGTGAGATTTTGATTAGATGACCTTCATCATCTTATGTTAAAAGAAAAATGTACTCAACCTCAAAGTGATTCCAAACCTTTAAGAATGTCTTTTCTCTATTGAGCATAAAAAGAAGTTATTTTGAAGAATGTTGTAAACCATTAACCATTCTATAGTATGGAAGCAGCAAATACTATGGAAGTAAGTGGCTTCCAACATTCTTCTTCAAATATATCTTTTGTGTTCAATAGAAAAAAACTCAGGCAGGTTTGAGAATGGGTAAAGTGTTGATAGATTTTTCATTTTCAGATGGACGGTCTCATTTTGTGTAACATACCGACTGTATCTTTTTTGTTTAGCATTGAGCGCATCATCACCCCGCGTCTGGCACTGACCACAGCAGAGTATCTGGCTTATCAGTGTGAGAAGCACGTGTTGGTCATCCTGACGGACATGAGCTCCTATGCGGAGGCTCTGAGAGAGGTGAGAACGATATCATGCCAATAAAATTATTTCCTCATAATGAATGTCTGAGGCAAGGGCCACGCAAGAGCCTCTGATTTTTGAGAAAAGTGGATTTTAATTAACTTCCAGTTATTTTTTTATTAGAGATGCAATAATGTAAAAGCTATTTCCATGCTGTCTGCTATTTGCTGATTGTTTAATAATAGCTGATGATGAAGCCTGATTATGTCCTGTCAATCAAAAGAAGGCGGGAAATGTCATATTTTACTTGAGAAATTACTAAAGAAATCACTACATTTTGAGCATTTCAACTTCTTTAACGCACCTTAAAGAAAATTTCTCACATTTTTCAATGTTAAGGAGGTTTAGTCATGTTAACCTCCATCCAAAGATGTGAATAAAATTTACACGCAAAACAGGAATATCGCATAAAAGACATACAAATATTGCAGCGTTTTCATCCAACGATTCAAAGAAAACGAAATAGTCACTTCCTGATAAACTGGCACCAAATGTCAACAGTAAAAATGGAATTTGCTCTGGTAGGAGAAGCTGCATGAACCTTTTTTTTATTTAATAAATGATTTGCGCCTCAGTAGACGATGCCGACATACAATGAACTTGTGATAGTGTTTGAAGGCGTCAAACGCAGAGCACAGACACTCTTGATTTTAGAGGAATTTAATACTATCATAACATTAACATTTAAATGGTTAAGGCGTTTTAGAATAACCAAAACAACATTTCAGATGTTTTACAATGTGCTCAGCCTGCTGATTTGTCCATTCACACACATTTTCATTATGACTTGATCTCTTATAACAAAATCACATGACTTTATTAATGTGCATACTTGAATTTGTTCTGTAAAAGTGTTTCCATCAAAGTTTATGCGCATCTTTTCTTATCGAATAAAAAGTTTATCGTAATCCGTTATGCACATACAGTAAGTTTTTTTTTTATGCACATTTTCAAGATTGATGTGCATCTTGGGGTTTCCATCAACCATATTTTTATGTGCATATCCAAAATGCACATAAAATTAGTTAGATGGAAACATAGCTAATGTTAATATAAATTAATAACAGAGCTTTTCAAGAAATCTTGATTTTTCTTCAGAATTTAGTTAATGACCTGAGTATGTTAATGACTTGTGTTAATGACCAGTTAGACTGAAATGCTTTTTAGTTTGAACTAAAGAGAAAAACGTTTTCACTTGCATGTTATTTAAAACTGTAAAATTAATAGATATACATTTTAATAAGTTACAAAAGGTGCAAATACCATGGTAGATCATTCTGAATAAGTTACCTTTCACACTTTAAAAGTTAAATTTTTTTTTTTTAAAGTTAAATTTTATTTATTTATTTTTTATATTTTTTAATTGAGTTTTTACATTTGCAGTTTAAACCAGCACTCTTAACTCCTCCCTTACCAACAACCAGAGCATTGAAAATAAATATATACGTGTTCAATTAATTAAAAACAACAACAATCCTATGTAAATACTATCCTTTTGTACTGTACAATCATCTACAAATCCCAAAAGCATGCATATCATGTTTAGATTGATAACCAGGTATTCAGCTTTGCCAACACAGAAATGCATTAAAATTTTAAAGTTAAATGTTTTAAAGTTAAATTGCTAAAGTTATTTTACATTTTGAATAATTATCGAACAATATTAATTTATCGGTCCCACTTTATATTAAGTGTCCTTAACTACTATGTACTTACATCAAAAAATAATTACAATGTACTTACTGTGTTTATAATGTATTTGAGAACACTTGTGGTGCTTTTGGGTTGGGATAGAGGTTGGGTTATGGACAGGCTTTGTGGCATGGGTAGGTTTAAGGGTGGGTTGAGGTGTAAGGCATGGTCAACAGTGTATTTACAAATGTAATTACAAAAGTTATTTACAGATGTAATTACATGCAAGTATTTAATCAAGCATAAGTACACAGTAAATACATGTATTTACACAATAAGTACATTGTAACAAACTATTAAATCCTGTGTAAGTACATATTAGTTAAGGCCACTTAATATAAAGTGGGACCAATTTATCTAAAGGTAACATCCTACCACTGAATGCTTCTACAGTTTCTGTGAACTATATTAGTGACCACAGCCAATTAAACTGGAGAAATGTTAGCTTGCCAGTACGTTTATATTGGGAAACAGACAACCTTAAAGAACTCACAATGCATTTTTAAACCCTGTATGTCTTTAATTATTTATTAAAGCTTGTAATAGTGAATTCAGCCCTTTGAACAAAGGTAGCTGAAGGTCTCTTTTACAGAAGCATAATGTACATGTGCCTCATATAAACAGTCCATGTTGACATTTTATAGCTATGAAAGCATTCAAGGAACAAGTAGGGTTTTCTATTAGATATAAAGGCGAGCAAAGCTGCAAAACATTCTCTGCTTTGTGTTGGTGCTTTTTTCTAGTGCCGTTTCACCATCCATCATTTTGTTTGCCATTTAAATGTTATGCCTTCTTATACACAATTGACCTTGTCATGTAAATAATCCAAAGCCCCATCGTTCTGGTTTTGTCACCATTTTTTATTTATTTATAGCATTGCTACAATGCACATCTTAGGCTATACGAACGACAAATACATTTATATCACATTATCGTGTATCTTGTGTATGTATACCTTTGCATCTCTCAACTCTAGCAATATGAATGGTTGTCTTTACATACAGTGTTTCTATCTAGCAGTAAACACACAGAAAACAGCAATGACGAGTAGGAAAGAGTCTTTTATAACCAAAACATATTCTCCTTTTGACATTTGGAGCAGTATTTTCGCAATGGTCTGCGTTAAGGTTCGTATCGTGTTTCTTGCGTGGCTTATGTTGAAGAGCCACTGTGTCCAATTGAAATGAAAAGGTTTCAGCGCCATCTGCCAAAGTGTAAGAATCATGTTTTACGCAAAACCAGATGTAAACCAAGACATCGGCTTTGTTAAATAGCATTTTAGAACAGTGCTTGTATTATTTATGGTCGTTCAGTACACTGTGTAAAAGTATGCAAATATATAGTGAAACTAGAGCAAATTATGCTTATTATTTTATCAGAAAAACTGTCCGACGCTTGTTGACCTTCTTATATAGAGTGATGAACGACCAGGAGTTAGATCTGCTTCAGCATTTGATATATTTTTCTTGATTAATTAAAGAATCGGACTGCTTAGAGAGAACATGTTTTACACAGTGGCTTAAAGCGTTTTAAGTCTTAGTTCTAATTCACGAGTAAAGAAGGAAGAGTTTTTAAAAAAAAATCAAGGTTGAATCTGCTTTTAATTCATTCATCAGACTGAAAGAGTAAGAAAAATGAAACTTGTTTCGTTTAAGAAGCTGCATTTTATACAGTGCTTTGAATGTATACTGCACATTTTGGTAAATCTATTATAAATTTTTATACATGTTAACTAAAGTACACATAACTGTACTGAAGATAAAATGATTCATAAATTTGCATGGACTTACAAACCTATTAGCCACTTGAATAGCCACATGAATTTCAAAAACAAAAAAAAATATGTATGGTAGAATTTCATCTTGTAGGATTATAGTATACAGTTTAAGTTAAAATGATTTGCCCTCCTGTGAAATATTTATTCTTTTTCAAACATTTCTTAAATTTAATGGCACAAAGACATTTTCACAGTATTTTCAATAATATTTTTTCTTCTAGAGAAAGTCTTATTTGTTTCATTTCATCTAGAATAAAATCAGTTTTACATAAAAAAAAAATATATATATATATATTTTAAGGTCAATGTTACTAGCCCTCTTAAGCAATATCTTTTTTGATTTTTTTTACAGAACAAACCATTCTTATACAATGATTTGCCTAATTTACCTAGTGTAGAGTTAGATAATATCAAAAGTAGCATCATGCTATGCAATTATTCCTGAATAAAAATACATGGTGCCATTCAAAAAAAGTTTCTTAACATCTAAAATAGTAGTGTTGTTGTAGTATATGATTATTTAAATCTATTTTGCCACTACACATTTAACGTGTACACAACACCTCATATTTTATGGGTATTATTGTAGCGTAGTATTACAAACATATTGTGTCACTTTATGAATATAATTAATATATGTGCAAACAGTATATCTAAATGCACAAATAGTAATAGATATGGTATTAACATATGAAATCGCTTTATGAGGGTAAATACATCCCAATCTTTTAGGCATTTAAAACTTTCATGCCACTTCATTATTACAGAATAGGGCTGCACAATATATTGTTTAAGCATGAATATCGCAAAGTGATGATTCAAATAGTCACATCGCAGGATATGCAATGTTGATTTTGCATCATAACTTATCATTTGCACGTTGATGCCTGTGATTGTATAATGATTTTAAAAACATTCAGGTATAAGAAATCGTAGCATTAGTAACCTTAACTATGATACAATTTTATTATTATTTCTTTATCATTCATTTACTGTTCTTGAATATTGTTAGACTCGGGAAACGATAAAACGCTTAATTTCAATTGTATCTTTTTCTGATTGTATTTATAGATTGTCATGCATGAAAATACTCACAACACATGCGAATACCAAAAAGCACTGCAAATAGTACAGACAACAACAAAAATGTGTCTGGTGACCCCAAAAGATTCTAGATTTTATGGAGATGGACTCCCACTGAGTCATCACAATCCATCTAACATGATTATTTTCTTCCAAATAGAGACATTCAAGTTATCTGGTAAAATTGTATTTATATTGCAAAATAAATAATAATTGCAATGCTAGATTTTTCCAATATCGTGTAGCCCTAATACAGAATACAAATAATATACATGTGTATAGTATCAAATGTAGCAAAAACAGTATTACTAGCATGGTGGTATGCTACTACAAATGTATTATGTCACTTTATGTATATATATATATATATATATATATATATATATATATATATATATATATATATATATATATATATATATATATATTCATGAAGTGACATAATACTTATATATAAGTAAAACAAATTTTGAGAAAATCACGTGCTTATGATTGATCATAGTTGATCCCGCTTTAAATAAGGCATGATTTGCCAATCACATGATTCCTTACTCAACATAAATAACCTGAGTTTCTTACTTTAGTCATCTATCCTTGAAGAATCCCCCCTTTCACCCCTACTCCTCCACCTTTCGCTTTATAGGGCGGCATGATGGCCCATTGATTAGCGGTTTCCTCCCACAATCCAAAAACATTTGCCATAAGTGAATTGATCAATCTAAATTAGCACTAAAGTCGAGCTCTTAACCAGTAGTATATCTCTATATAGCAATTTCTAATCTGTCATCAGCTCTGAATAAGGGGAAAGTTCTCTGGACCTACCCGAGCTCAAACTCCCCTCTCTAACTGCAAACAGGAGGTAGCCCCGGGCTCGAGGATCTTATGAGCTTAGGACTCTTTCTGGGGACAGCATGCCAAACTCACTTTATAATGAATCATCAGCAAAGTAAAATAAGGTTTGTCTATTAGCAGTGGGACATAAATAACAGTGTTACTTTCGTCTTCACTGGAACTCTTGCCATTTAAATCTGATTTACTTTTAAACTGAAAAACTCTTTTTAAACACTTTTTAAAAACATTTTAAACTTAATGATGTGTTATTGCACTAAATAACCTGTAGAAGGAGCATTAATGTGTTGCATGAAAAGAGAAACACAACATGTAATAAGGAAAGAAGGACCGCTACAACAGGTTACTTTTTGCACTTAAAAAACAGAAATTTGGAGCTAGCTGCAGGATACACTCCTGAAATCACATAATATTTGGCAGCTCAATCAAGGGTTGGATGCTGAATGTGCTGTTATAGCATAGAAAGCAAATGTTGTCAGGGCTTCGAGAAAATTGATTTGTTACTTTCATCCCTCATTACTTTCGTCCCCGCTCTCCCCCAATATAAATAACATGTACTGTAGTAAAAAAAAAAAAAATCATATTAATATGGTAGTATAGCACTTCATATTTATAATATGCTACATGAATACAACATTGGACACATTATGTACATATAATGGCATGAATAGCATTGACAGTATGATATGGTGTGTGCACAGTATATGTGCAGCAGTGTGCCATTCTAAATGTATTAACTCACTTCACACTATACCAAAAATAAGCATATTAGGCACAGTACACACAATGCCGAAAATAGTAACAATAGTATACCATTCCAAACATTCCAGCGGGACGTTCTAATAGACAAACAGAGGATGAGTTCAAAGTAAGATTTGTGAATACTTCATTCCTCTCTGTGTTCTTCAGCCTTCTAAAGAGGTTTTTGTTTTTAGTTGTTGTTGCAGCATCTCTTTTCTTCCAGCTTCATGTCAATGATTAGCATGTTTTTTTTCTTGTGTGCCACGAACACGTTTTGACATCTAAATGTGTCAAGTGCATAATGCTCATTCTAAATAGTTTGCATGCATGTGAAAGGACCATTCACTCTTGCTTTTGTGCCGATGTAACCTTGAGATTCATTCAGCCTTATCTGTGCGCTTCTGCTTTGGCTTCTGCTGTTTCCAAAGAGAGCCGTGAGCGTTAACATTTAACTCCCTCTCCCATTCAGCCTGGTAAAGGTGAGCCGCAGAGCAATGTCTGCGCTCGTTTTAACCTTGGGAGAAGATCTGAGTGTATTTTATTTCCGCTTAAGGAAGTGCCTTGGTGTGCAGATGTAACATGCGGAAAACATTAATGTCATTTAATGGCGGCTTGAAATGGCTGTCATTGATCGTTTGGTGTAGAACAGATGTTACCGTTTATGTTCATTGTTCTTCATAGGAGACCATGAGAAATGTGTGCACCGAATTTCAGCTGTTTTGATGAGTGATTTACGTTTTGTTGTGTCGTAGGTGTCTGCTGCCCGTGAAGAGGTGCCGGGTCGTCGTGGGTTTCCTGGTTACATGTACACCGATCTTGCTACAATCTACGAGCGCGCTGGAAGAGTGGAGGGCAGGAACGGGTCCATCACACAGATCCCTATTCTGACCATGCCTAATGATGGTACACTCGCACATACACATCATCACTTAGCTATGATCCAAATTAAATCATACTTGCAGCAGAATAAAGATTTCAACACCTCTTTTTTAGCTAATCTTAATTTTATATATATATATATATATATATATATATATATATATATATATATATATATATATATATACATACATACATACATACATACATACATACATACATACATACATACATACATACATACATACATACATACATACATATATATATATATATATATATATATATATATATATATATATGCACACACACACACATTTTTTTAAAAATATATAAAATATTATTTTATATATATTCATGTATATAAATATTATATATATTGAAAAAGGAAATGGAAATAATTAGTGTTGGAGGGCCAGAACAAACGTTTGGACAGTATGAAAAACAGAATAGATTGTGTTAGTAACTGAAGGTCAAGTGTTGAGGAAAATGATGAATCTTCAGCTGTGTCTTGAGAATGTCTAAAGACTCCACTGACAATAGAAGCAATCAAGTTCAACAAAAAGAGCAATAATATGTAAGTGTGGTGACAAGTCCCAGTTGGTCTTACAGATTACACAGACCCTGTAACATATCAGCATTACAATTATTAACAGCAATACAATATTATTTAGTTTGTTAGTTTTTTTATGTATAGTTGGATATTTCTTTGGTTTTCTTAGTTGACCTTTTTTAATGTTTCTAAATGAGAATGCCACTTAATAATGAAATTAAGAATCTTTTGCAAGATTAAAAATGCTGGCACAACTTAGTCTCCAAACTATGTACATGCATATGTAAATTCACACATTCTCATGCACATCAATCCAAAATAAAAAAATATACAGTTGAGGTCAGAGTTATTAGCCTCCTTTGATTTAGAGAAGAGAAAAAGTCTTCATTTTTTGTTTCGGCTAGAGTAAAAGCAATTTTTTAATAAAAAAACAAAAAAAACATTTTAAGGTCAAAATTATTAGCCCCTTCAAGCAATATTTTGAAGATTGCCTGCTGAACAAACCACTGTTATACAATGACTTGGCTAATTACTCTAACTTGCCTAGTTAACCTAGTTAAGCATTTAAATGTCACTAAGCTGTACAGAAGTGTCTTGAGAAATAACCAGTAACATATTAATTACTGTCATCACGGTAAAGATAAAATGAATCAATTATTAGAAATGAGTCATTAAAACTATTATGTATAGAAATGCGTTGAAAAAAAAAATTCTATTAAACCGAAATTGGGGGAAAAATAAACAGGGGGGCTAATAATTCTGACTTCAACTGTATATTTTTTTTATGTCTGAGTTTCATTCATTTTCAGTTGTGCGAGTGTGTTTCTGCCAATATCAGACTGATTGTAGAAGTAATATGAGTTAGTGATATGAAATCTTTGTTTTGTGTTCTGGCTGGACTCAGCAACTGTGCCCAGTAAACTAGCTCTTTTGAAGGCTCTGGTTACTATAGAAACATCCTTGTGAAGGGCCCGTGTGTGTTTCTGAATGGGTGTTCCCCATTATAGCAGCACCAGGAAACCTCCATCTTTCTTTTTCCTCGCTCTCTTTGCCCTTCTGTCTCGACTAAAATCCCACAGTATTACTTGAGCAGTGGCATCACTTTCATGCTAATGTTATCGTTAACAATAAATAAAAATCATTATACTTGATTAGAGTGAGCAGTCTTGTGCATCCCTTTCATCCAGTGACTTATAAATGCTATCAATAGCAGATTTAAGGATCAGAAACTAATCAGAAAACAGTGGATGTGGCTTGTTTTTTCTACTGCAAGCTGATTGGATGTAGTAAAGTAGGCATTTCATTCAAAAAAATTAGGAAAAGGTTTTGAAAAGGCGTATCACAACCTAACATACTCCTCCTCACCATTTATGTCATAGTGCGGCCAAAATAATCATTTAAATATGTTAACCATGCCCAATATAGTAGACGGCCGTGAATTTATCTAAAAACAAACAAGTGCATTTTCAGATTTCAATTTTAGATTACAAAGGCAATATCTTTTCTTAATGACAAGAACAGATGAATTGTTAGCCACAAAACTAGTGTAAGCTAACAAAGTCTATGTTTAGTTTTCATTTCATGTGAATTTAAAAAAAAGGACTAGAATTAACAGTTTTTACTGTATAAAATGTTCAAAATATTTTCTCTTTTTCTAATTTATCAGATATCACCCATCCAATTCCTGATCTGACGGGATACATCACAGAGGGACAGGTGTATGTAGACAGACAGCTGCATAACAGACAGGTGAGACATTGTTACACGTCATAAACAATTGAAAAGCTTTGTAAAAATTGGTAAAAGGTAAACAATCCATGTCAGAATCTGTAGATATACCCATTAAACGGATTGTTCACCATGTTACACCATAGTTAGATTTCTCGATATTGAATTATTTTAGCTTTGTAAAAAAATCATCCCTTTATCATCTCATTTTAAAGATCTATCCTCCAATCAACGTACTTCCATCTCTCTCTCGTTTGATGAAATCTGCTATCGGAGAGGGAATGACCCGCAAAGATCACGCTGATGTCTCTAACCAGCTGGTAAAGATGTGCAGTTCTCATACTATAGTTGTACATTTAATTGTGGTTTTAGTGCTAATTCTCTTTCTTTCTAAATGTTTAAAAATGTGTGTTCTGGAGGGATTTTTTTTATTATTGATCAAATTAAAACAACCTATATGACTTTTTATTAGTGTTGTTATTTGTATGTTTTTGTGTACAAGGAATGATTAAGAAACAGTTATGCCATTAAAACATAAATAAATGTATAAATCTTTCTCTCTTTCTTATTCAATACCATAGTATGCGTGTTATGCCATTGGCAAAGATGTTCAGGCCATGAAAGCTGTGGTTGGTGAGGAAGCTTTGACCTCAGATGACTTGCTGTACCTGGAGTTCCTGCAGAAGTTTGAGAAGAATTTCATTGCTCAAGGTACAAATCAGAAGCCTGCGTCTCTCAATAGGACTTTCTCAACTCTTCTTATTGTCATTCTAAAACCAACTTTTGACCCAGAGTAAAGGAGTGTTGGACACTTGTAATTTAGAAGCTGTGTTCGCACTGCTTTCTATCCAGAGTTATGAAACGCCACTTTTGTTGTGTTAACCCACTATTCAGTGCCAAGTAATGCTGGATGCGATTTAGTCTCTTTAAGCAACTGATAACCAAGCGCAGGTACTTTGCTGCTATACCATAGCTGCAGCAGGCATCTTTTGATCTGTACATTTTTTTAGGGAAAAAACTTCCTTCCCTCTATACTTTCTTTATATGTCACACAATCACCAACTTATTAATATAAATTGTAGTAAAGAAACTTTAAGTTCTACTGACATACAGTGTAATGGATTCCAAAAGTACAGCATTACACAGATTCTTCTAACTGGTGGTGTATGTTTAGGGCTTGGTGCTGGGGACTATTTTCATTCTCTACGAAATAATATTGCATCTGCTGCAGCGATGGTGATGCAGAAAACTACATTGATTGTTACGCTGGAATGAAAGTATAGATCATATCCATATCAGTTTAGAAATGAGCAACTTTTTACCTTCTGTCGGTCTACAAGATGTAATTACAGAGGAGTCAAGCTTTAAATAGAAAAAATCTCAAAATTCTTTGGTCATTTTTAAATGAGATGCTAATGGATTAATCTGATTTAATAATCTATTTAAACATAAAATCTAAGCTACAGTGTTAAATCTATGCTAAATCTGATGCCAAAGCTTTTATGTGAACATATCACATGCAGAGTTTGTTCAATCAATGTCACTCGAAATATACAAATGAGGATCTTAACCAAAGGTTTAAAGGTTCAAAAGTTTCTAAAAACCTAAACCAAAGTTTATATATACCAAATATATAAATATACCCAGGATTAATTTTAAAACCCAGGTATATTCTGAACAGTGTAAAATGTGAAGCAAGGACTCCAGTTACCAATAAGACACATGGTTAACTGTAAAGTGTTTAGACGGGACTGAATTTGGCAAAAAAGAAATTATAGCACTTTTTAACCTGTTAATGTAAAAAGGAAACACACTGAGACTAAATTGTTTCAAAGTCTTTTTCAGGTCAAATATCATAACTAAACCATAACCATAACTTCATTCAGACTCTCCAAATCAGAGCAGTTTTCTAGTTTTCTTTTTTATTCCAAGGTTCTACCAACTGCATGCGTGTCTGTGCACACGGACTATTGTGCTGTTTTCTAATCTGTGATCGAAAGCACTAGAGAGTATTTCTATCAGGCACGGCTCTTGCTCTGCCGCAGAGCACTTTCACCTCAGTGAATGTTCTTCTCAATGCTATCGCTCTTCAGCGTGGCACAAGGTGCAAGGCCTTTGTCTACATCAAATCTTCCACTTCACTTAAAAAAAGTATGTACATCTTTTGATTGCAGTCCTATTTTTGGGACAAAAAAGCTTCCTTCTCTCTATAATTCCTTTGTATGTTACACAATAGCTATGTTATTACCATCAATGTTAGAAAAGACATTGTCTAAGTTTTACTGACATACAGTATATTAGACTCTGGAAGTACAAGTTAGTGTGTCCATTTACAGAGAACAAAACATCCTATCAGGTTTACAGTACATTATTGGAACATTATTGTTTTTTTTCAGATCACGCTTTTTTTTTCAAATGAAATTAGGCTATTATTGTAGATGCCATACATCTGTCGGTGGTTGTTATATGAAAGTCAAATACACTGCTGCAATGTTGATTTCCTAAAGACTCATTTTTAAGCCACAACTTTAAAGGTTCGAGAAATTAATTAGAATTTAACATTATTTAACATATTGCAGTATAATAGTTTGTTAATTCTACGAGGCTAAAAGGTCAGGCAATTAAGTACATGGCAGAATATGTATGTTTTATGATACGCTAAATGACAATGGATCAATCATGAATTTATCATTGGAAATGTTTGGAATTTCAATACTCATACTCTGACTAAAAATTTAAGTAGACATCATTTTTTTATTAGTTTGATGTAGACATTCCATTGTTTTTTTACTTCAATACCTATACACTTAAAACTTAATGATACTCAATAATTAATATTTAATTGAAATAGGCAGTGATATGTCACAATTTGGCTTTCAAGTATAGTTTTCATAGCAGAGCGTGACTTCTCAAAACCTCAGATTCAAACCTGCTGAGGAGGCTCACCAATGCACAAGCCACAAGATGATCATCCCACATATGCAATTGCAGCTACAAACAGAGGTTGCGACAAGCTAAATGTACAACCCACAGCTTTAAAGGCTAATTTCACCCAAACATAAAAATAAAAATCTGTTATTTATTACTAACCTTATCCAAACTCTTTATTTTTGAAAAACAGAATAAGATCTTTTAGGTGAAATCTGAGACACGTGGTGGTCCCGAGATGTTCAAAGTGCATAAAAAATGCCAAAAAGAAATCCTCAAAACAGACCATATGCTTTCAGTGGTTCAATCAGAATATTATCAAGCGATGATAACACTTTTGTGCGCACATAAAACAAAAATAATGACTTTCTTTAACAGGTTCTTCTCTTCAGTGTTAGTATAGGGCGCACATTCTGTTTACAAGAGCAATTTTCTTTTTTTGTGTGTCATACTCTCCCACTGCTTGCATATTTTTCTACATGCTTTGTTTCAAACAGAGGAAGATTTTGCTAGAGCATCTGGGTTTTACACCAGTGCACAAGGCTCTTGTGAACATGCACAATATACTGAGACTGAGGAGAAGAAACTTTCAAATGAAGTTATTTTATGTGCACACAAGTATTCTCGTAGCCGCATAATATTCCCATTGAACCACTGAAAACCTATCAAAAGTTTTTAGGATGATTTTTAGTACGTTTCTAAAATTTTAAACAAGTCAGGACAGTTTCTGTCAATGGAGGATGAGGGAGCTCTCAGATTTAATACAAAATATCTTAATATCTTTGTGTTCCAAAAGTGAATGAAGGTCTCGAGGGTTTTGAATGACATGAAGGTGAATAATTATTGACAGAATTTTCATTTATTGGTGAACTAACTCTTTAATTCAATTCAAATCACCTTTATTTGTATAGCGCTTTTGCAATGTAGATTGCGTCAAAGCAGCTTCACATAAAAGATCATAGTAAATTGAAACAGTGTAGTTCATTTTTCAAAGTTTAAGTTCAGCTCAGTTTAGCTCAGTTCAGTGTGGTTTAATAATCACTACTGAGAGTTCAAACACTGAATGGAATGTTGAACACAACTGTTTTTTACAAATAATGTACTACTGTATATGACTAATTAACCATATTGATTTAATACGCTATATATTTGAGATAATAAGAAAATTAGTGCATCATGTATCATTTGGGACAAAATTCACTTTTGTCCATTTCTTTAGGTGCCTATGACAACAGAACGGTGTTTGAGACGCTGGACATTGGTTGGCAGCTGCTGCGTATCTTCCCTAAAGAAATGCTGAAGAGAATTCCTCAAAGCACATTGGCCGAATTCTACCCGAGAGAGTCTGCTGCTCGCCACGGGGCGTCCTAAAACCACAACTTCACCTTCCAGAGGCCCGTGTCTCCCTCACAAACCTCTTCCTCCACACTCCTGTCCACTTCTACTCTGACAAGTGATGTGTAGGATTAGAGGGCATAACTCTGGGATAATATACATTTAACATCCACAGAATGGTTTCGTACATGTGTGTGATTTTCCCATGTGTTATGATTTTTTTTTTTCATTGTCCCTCGTTGTTGTGTTATACATGTTTGTGTGTATTGTGTTGTGTGGTTAGGATGTGTAATTGTGATTTTGCTTTTGTTTCAGTGGTGCATACTGTCCAGTAGTTCATTTCTTTTTCGTTATTTCACTGTCTGCAGCCTAAAGACAATTTTGAAAACATCTCAAAGGGAAATATTCAGGGCTCACTTGCATATCCGTGTGCTCACTCAGTCCTCCATTCAACAAGCGCACAACTAATACTATTTTTCGACACATTCCAATGCAAGTAATGAGAATATTTGATTGCTAAATTAATTTGTGGCCCTTCTCCTGAAAATATTCGCTTTTTATTTATTTTATTATCCAAAGAAGAGAAAAAAATCTTGCGCACCAAACTTGGTTTGTGTTGTGCTGACAGACAGACAGGTAATTATAGGTGTTGAATGATCATATAGTTTGTGTATGCTTGTCACTGACAGCTGTTATTTCCCATTTAGAGGAGGATGGAGGATGTTTACAGCGTCTGTGCTTTGAATTATGTGCTGCAATATAAGACTGATTAGACATTCCTCTCTTACTCTGTATGCGTAAACTCGTTTTACCTGTTTTGATTGCTGTTAAACCTGTCAAACCTCTCAGATGAATTAAATTATATTGTTATATTGTGATTGGCTGACTGCTTCATTTATTTGTCATAATAACAGGGATTTTAATTGCTGTGAATGAAAATGTCAGTGGATCATTTTGTCTGCAAGTGTGTGTCCTCAAAGTCACCCATGGTACTATCATTTTCAGTGTTGGGGTAACACATTGCAAGTTAACGCAAAATATGTAATGATATTACTTTTCTAAGTAACGAGTAAAATAATGCATTACTTAAAAAAATTAAGCAATAATGTTAATGAGTTACTTATTATAATAAAGTAATAAGCTACTCATTCATTCATTCATTCATTTTCATCCGCTTATCCGGGGCCGGGTTGCAAGCGCAGCTGTCTTAGGAGAGAACCCAAGACTTCCCTCTCCCCAGACTCTTCCTCTAGCTCCTCCGGGGGGATCCCGAGGTGTTCCCAGTCCAGCCGAGAGACATAGTCCCTACAGCGTGTCATGGGTCTTCTCCGAGGCCTCCTGTTGGTGGGACATGCCTGTAACATCTCCCTAGGTAGACGTCCAGGAGGCATCTGAAATCGAAGCCCAAGCCACCTCAGCTGACTTCTCTTAATGTAGAGGAGCAGCAGCTCTACTCCGAGCTCCTCCCGGGTGATAGAGCTCCTCACCCTATCTATAAGGGTGCTCCCTGCCACCCTGCGAAGGAAACTCATTTTAGCCGCTTGTATCTGAGATCTTAACCTTTTGGTCATGACCCATAGCTCATGACCATAAGTGAGAGTAGGAACGTAGATTGACCGGTAAATCGAGAGCTTTTCCTTTCGGCTCAGTTCTTTCTTCACCACAACGGACCGGTACATGGACTGCATTACTGCTGCCGCTGCACCAATCTGTATGTCAATCTCACGTTCCATCCTTCCCTTACTCGTGAACAAACCCCAAGATACTTGAACTCCTCCACCTGGGTTAAGGACTTTCCTCCAACCTGGAGATGGCAAACCACCTATTTCTGATGGAGCACCATGGCCTCGCACTTGGAGATGCTGATTCTCATCCCAGCTGCTTTACACTTGGCAGTAAACTGCCCCAGTGCAGGCTGGAGGTCCACGTTCGATGAAGCCAACAGAACAACATCGTCTGCGAATAACAAAGATGTGATCATGTGGTCCCCAACCGGACCCCCTCTTGCCCAAGGCTGCACTTTGAAATTCTGTCCATAAAAATTCTGAACTGAATTGGTGACTAAGGACAGCCCTGCCAGAGTCTAACATGCACTGGAAACAAGTTTGACTTTTTGATGGCAATGCGAACCAAAATCCTACTCTATTCATACAGGGACGAGACAGCTTTACCTAAGCACCTCCAAACTCCCAGAGCACCCTCCACAGAATGCCATGAGGGACACGGTTGACTGCCTTCTCCAAGTCCACAAAACACATGTGAGTTACTTTTTAGTTCAGTTAGTTCACTTAAAAAAAATTATTGCTAAATTAAAATTAATGTTAGATCCTGCACTCAATTATAGAGTTTTCCCCCTGCGGAAACGGACAAAACCAAGATGGCAGAGCTCTAGCATTCTGTGATGGAGGTATTCTCATTATTCTCAACACATGAAACTTACTTCACTAATAAGACAAAAACGTACAAAGGCATCAAACACATTGCTTTAAACTTTGATTAGTCAGTATGGCATGTAGAGCTCTGAGTCAATAAGTTCTCCAAAGATAACTGTATCTTATAGTTTAAATGTTTTTTATATGTAAATAGTTATACAGTGTGTTGTTAATCGCAGAGCTCATCTATTAAACAAAGAAAAAAACTGCCAGTTCAAGCCTCAATAAGATCAAGCCTCAGCAAAAGTTAGAAAGTAATGCAAAAGTAACCAAGTAATGAAACTAGTTACTTTTTTAAGGGAAGTATCTAAATATTGTAATGAATTACCTTCAAAAGTAACTTTCCCCAACACTAATTATTTTGACACCATTCTCAGTTACTTTAGTTACTGGGATTCTTTAACTTCATTAGTTGATTTTATTAAAAGTAGCATATTTTTATCAAATCATGTAATGTCATGCTGCAATTTTTTGTGTTTCGCTGTTCTTTAACTGCAACAATTAAAACTGTTTTACTCCTTAGTAAGTTGTTAAAATTGGTGCTCTTAAAAAGTTTGGGTCATAACTGTATCGCCTAAGAGAATGGAAAAAATAGACGTGAAGCGAGAAATTATGGAGCCAGATCAGTCTAAAAAATAATACTTCAATAATAATTCACATTTGCAAAATTTAATTAGTAAATTCTAAACGCTTTTCGTAAATACACAAATCCAATTCGTAAATTCAAAACCCAATTCATACATGAGCAAATCCAATTCATAAATTCAAAACAATTCATAAATACAGGTCTAGTTTGTTAATTCAGAAAGCAATTTATAAATACACAAATCCAATTTGTAAATTTAAAACACAATTCATAAATATTTATCAATTGGGGTAATATTTAGTATTTTTACTTGTGAATTTTTGATGTATGAGTTTTATTTTTGAAAACATATTTTTTTAGACTGATCTTGCTCCATAATAAATGCATCAATTGGATCTATATTGTATCATTTCATTCCCATTTGACAGCAATAAGTGTTAACTGTAAAAAAAAATCTATAACTTGACAGTTTTCCATATTGTGTGATTCATGCATTTTCCACTTATTTATGCTTTTGAATTGCATTAGGGGATCTTGATATTTCCTCCAAAAGAAAGATGTTAAAAAGTTTGGGGGGAAAATCTTTAATTGACATTTGTAATAGTTTGAAGTGATATATTGTCTGAGTTGATGTTGTCAGTTACGGTACAAAAACCTGGTAATAAACTGCCAGTCGAAACTTAATTTTCTATCTAGTATCTCTTAAACAATATCTTGTTTCAAATTACATTTTAATAAAAGTCACTGTTAAAAGTTGAGTTTTCAACATCAAAAGTGGACAGAGCAGAGATAAAACTCCCATAAAGCAATTCACAACCCTTAAATATACAAAACACATGTGAATAACAAAATATGGAAACTGTTAACAATGTTTATATTTTTCTAGTCCACAGGTCAGATTTTATACATACACACACACACACACACACACACACACACACACACACACACACACACACACACACACACACACACACACACACATATATATATATATATATATATATATATATATATATATATATATATATATATATATATATATATATAGTTTATTTTTATTCATTTATTTTACATAAACCTGTATGACACTACTGTCCACATGTTATCTTAGCAAATAAGAGACTTATTAGTACATAATGTGTATATAAATATGTAGGCTAACATAAAATATTTTGTGACAATTAATACCACCAACAACTGGGGTTATTAAAATTATTTTGGAAGTTCGTGTGCAAGTCATTGGTGGTTTTATTCACTTATTCAATTATTATATTTCACAAATTATTTTACTTAGTCATTTGTCTAGTGATGCAGTGCTCTCGCTCTTTATAGCAGTAATTCTAGTGTCTGACAGAAACCTGTGGTTTACATGGTCAGTTTAACGGTGAACACACGCGGGGGAATGTAGGTGTGTTCAGGTAATCATTTCCTGTCCCGCTTGCGCTCTGCTTACTGTTTTGTCGGAAGAGTATTAAATCATTTACCACAACTTTCAATGGCGTCAAAAGGAAAGAAGAATAAAGTGAGAACGAATTCAGATCTGTCCAACCAAGGTAAGGGAGACTGTGTCAGATTCATGAACACTCCGCGTGCTCTGTTGTTACATACTGTAGATCACTTGAGTCCAGGAATTGTTTCTACAGTTTACACATAGATAGCAGCTGAAGTTACATCATTAGGTCTTCTTAAAGTTGTTCTTAAGCACCTATCGACTTGTAGCTTTATTCACAGAAAGAGAAAAGTCATAATAATTTTTGTGGGCTATAACTGGTAAGTAAATAAGCTGACATATTTAGCAACACTTTCTGAAGTGGAACAAAGATTGTATTCTTAGTTTCTCTGCCCATGTAGTTAATCTCTTCAGCATGTAGAAAAAATACTCCTCAAAGCCTTTTAATTCTGTAAACTCTTGCATTGAGAGGCTTGTTTGGACATGCACAAACATTTCTGCTGAACATCCTGGCATTTCTTTTGTTTTTCTTTGCAAAGATGTAGGCTATATGCAGTTGTAACCTTGAAGTACAGGTATATTTTATTACCCATTTTACTACAAAACGTTTATAGTTTATAATTGCATAATAAAACAAAACAAAAAATACTATTTAGTATTTACTCATATTTCTTTGGTCTTTAGAGTACATTTCTGGCCACATTCTAGCTGGTGATATTCAAACTTCTCAGTTTGTCAATAAAACGAATGGTAATCATATATAAAATAATTATCAGACTAAGTTTTAGTTTTTTCAACTACTTTCATTTGTACATATATTTTGAGCATGATTTATTGGACGTTAGTTCTGTGTTGTTGACCCTTGAACATTAATGATTTGGCTTTATCCAAAATCACACACTGTCTTGAGTGGCTGCTTTTTCTAAAACAATCATTCATTTTCCTTTGACTCCGTCCCTTTATTCATCAGGGGTTGCCACAGCGGAATGAACCGCCAACTTATCCAGCATATGTTTTACACAGTGCATGCCCTTCCAGCTGCAAGCCAGCACTGGGAAACACCCATACACTCTTGCATTCACACACAGTGCTAACCACTAAGTCACCATTTTGCATGTTCTGAAACAAATGATCTTCTATATAGTTTAAACGGTGTTGTGTATGCTACTTCAAAAAAAACTTTCGAATTATATGCAAATTAATTTGATAATTACTTTTAAAAAGTGAATTAATTGCAGTGAGTACTCAATAGTCTGTCATCGCTGTGGCAACCCCAGATTAATATAGGGACTAAGGCGAAATGAAAATGAATGAATGAATGCATTGGATTAAAATAACCCATAGTTAGGAAGGTGCTATAATAAACTATAGTTGGGGTATTTTTAACACAACTGTTTTAAGTAATTATACCTAACACTGAGTATATTAATGTGTGAATTATGAATAAAATTCAGACATACTACAGTTGTTGTATGTTCAAAAATGGTGTTGTTTCAGTCACATGATCTACCAGCATCAGTTATATCACTTTACAGGCATTCATAAATCCTCTCCTGACTTCATGGGACTAATGTGTCTACTGAACGTCCTCTTTAGAATCTTTTTACCCACCTCTGATTTGTACATTTCTTTATAACATACTGCTTTCCACATATAATGTAAAAATATGCAATTTTGGATGCTGTCTTTATCTATAAAAGCTCTCATAAAGTGACTGTTTAGACTGTACATGTAAAACACGGTCTAAAAAATCACAACAGCCCGAACATTCATTTCAACTCATTTTGAACCCGCAAATGTTACGTTTGGGATTAAACAAATGAGTGTAAATGCTCTTGACAGCTTTAGAATTTCCCTCTGGAATTAGGTTAGTAAACAACCGTGAAAGATATCTTCAGGGGAGATTTGCACAGTATCGTTTTGCTCAAAGCGCCCTAAATAGAGACAGAAAACATTAGGATTATTTGCATTATTCTGCTGTAGTATGAAACTTGGCTAAAAGAAAACAGAAGTGTCTTTCTGATGTAGTCTTTTCCTTAGCAGTCTGTCTGACTGTGACATTAATAACCCAGACACAGCATGGTTTGTAAACCATTTACAGATCTAAAATTAGACGCATATTCAGTAAGGCTGATGCTGATTCATACTACAGATGGAGATGAGTTGAACTGCTTTTTTATTTCAAACCAGCAAATTCATTTCTCATACTGAAAGAGAGTTTCCTCTATTTTGTATTTTTTTGCAGCTTTAAACATATTGTAAATTAGCTGTAGTTTCCATGAGTACTCTTTTATTATTCAGATTTGGTTCGATTTAATACATTTATTTTCTTATTTGACTTTATTCTAAGGAAGCTTTGAGAAATGTTTAACTGGCGTCCTTGTATTTCTGCAGTTCTTCTACAATATGAAAGCCTTCAAAAGGAACATGAGAAAATTAAAAAAGAGGTAAGATGCTTTTCTTACTTTAGCCTCGTATATTTTGTGAGTAATGTAGCAGTTTCTATGTGTACAGCAAAAGTTTTTTCGCATTTTATTGACAACATTTAAAAGAAATAATTTTTTTTGCAGTGAATTTGAACTACCTTTCCAACATTTGGTGTCAGTAATTTAATCTCCTGAAGCACATTAAAATAGTTTAAAAGTGATAAACAGTATTATAATAAGATTTCACTTTCAAATAAAGACTGTTAATCCAAAAAACAAAAAATTAAACAGCACTGCTCTTGTAGTAGTTGGAGATATATCAAAAAATTTGACTGATTTCCGAAAGATCATGTGAAAGTGAAGACTTTAGCTTTTCAGCTTTAAATGGCAGGAATAAGTGACATTTTAAAATATATTATAATAGGAAAAAATACAATAGTTTTTTTACTATATTTTTGATTAATTAAATACAGTCTTAGTAAATATAGAATACTTTCAAAAAAGCTGACATATAACAGACCTTTGATGGAAGTGTACATTCATAAAAGGAATTAAATGCTAACAGGATTTAAATAATTTTGGTTTTATCAAAGAAATGCATATTTTCCAAATGATGTTTAACAGAGCAATGAAATTTCCACAGTATGTCTGAAAGTCTTTTTTCTTCTTGAGAAAGTCTTATTTGTTTTATTTCTGCTAGATTAAAAGCAGTTATTAATTTTTTACAAATATTTTAAGGTCAAAATTATTAGCCGCTTTAAGCTATATAGTTATTTTTGATAGTCTACAGAACAATCGTTATACAATAATTTGTATAATTACCCTAACCTTAACCTAGTCAAGCCTTTAAATGTCACTTTAAGCTGTATAGAAGTTTCTTGAAAAATATCTAGTCATGGAAAGAACATGCAAACTCCACACAGAAATGCCAACTGACCCAGCCGAGGCTTGAATCTCTGCTTTGTTAGTTTTGGAAAACTGTACAGTAATTTTTAATTACAATAATTATTAGTAGTCTGAAAAAATATAGTGTATTTGAAATAATAGATATTGAAATAAATTAGTTAAATAACAAAGTTACTTGCACCAGTTTTTTGTACCATAATTTACATAATCCAGACAATTTAACATTTCAAACTACTAAATACCAATACATGTGATTTCATTTTTAATGATCTTCATCTTTTTTTAAAGGCTATTCAAATTGTAACTAGGCAGAAAACACACATACACAAAACTAGGTGTTTACATTGTATATTTGTTCTAAGTGTGTAAATGATACATTTGACTGATTTCCTTAATTTTGTTTCAGTGTAAAAAATTGCAAGAGGAGAGAGATGAGGCCTTACGGAAGCTGAATGAATTTGAATCTGGTAAGTTTTTAATGGCTTTGGTTAATGTCACTAAACTCTCAAATTGACCTAATGTCCATCTTTTTGGCTAATCAATCAAACAACAGTGACTCTGTTTACATGCACATCAGTAATCAAATTATTTGCCTTAATCTAAATAATAAAGTGGCGCAGTAGGTAGTGCTGTCACCTCACAGCAAGAAGGTCGCTGATTCGAGCCTTGGCTGGGTCAGTTGGTGTTTCTGTGTGGAGTTTGCATGTTATCCCCGCACTTGCGTGGGTTTCCTCCGGGTGCACCGGTTTCCCCCAATTCCAAAGACATGCGATATAGGTAAATTGGGTAGGCTGAATTGTCCGTAGTCTATAAGTGTGAATGAGTGTGTATGAATGTTTCCCAGATATGGGTTGCAACTGGAAGGACATCCCCTGCGTAAAACATATGCTGGATAAGTTGGCGATTCTTTCCGCTGTGGTGACCCTGTCATTGCTTCATCGCTCTATCTACATTTCCCCTAGAGTTTCATGTAATATGGGTGTTTCATTTTTAATTTTTCGGCTTTAACTGCAGTTTGGCACTTTCACTTTCATTCAGGAAAATATTCATTCAAGCCCCCCATGACAACCGAGATATTGCGAGTATGAACTGCAGGAAGAGTGTTGTTTTAATGGAATTTGATACCGCACGGCTTATTGGGATAAAAAAAGAAAACTCTGCATTTTGTGATTCAGGTGTCTGTGGTTCTTCACTGACTTTATAGTGTCAAACAGCCGTGTGTGTATAGACTATTCTGTTGCAAAACACGATGATAATAGTTTAATTTAAGGTTTTTTAATGTCTTTACGCACTTAAATAATGCAAGTAAAATCTGCATCAGGATAAAGTAATCAAAAAATAATTTTTACATGGTAGAGTCCTAATCAGAGTATTGTCTGAATCGCATTAAAATCAGTTTATTGGTGTCCATTGGTGTAACATACTCAACTCCATTGATTTCTGTGGGAAGTGCTGGCTTTGTGCTTTGCACTTTTGGACTTTGATCCCTGAATCTTGTAAGAGTTGTGACACAGTTCCATATGGACACACCTAGTTATTCCATAATCTTTATCTGTTGGATTTCCAGCAAGACATCCTTTATGTTATTCATACTGCTCTTATTTAGACAACTAAAGTAACCAACACACTAAAATTCATTCTTCGATCAAAACTGTGCACTTGAGTTTTATTCGCTGTGCTCAAATAGCTATCTAATGCTAGGTAGGATGTTTGGATGTATACATTAGGCACAAAATTTCTTTGCAGACACGAGTGAAGCTATCCAGCGATTTCCCTCTTATAGTTTGAGTTTGATATCAATCACGCACACCTGAGCAAGGTGGAAAGCGACAGGTTTCAATCTCAAATGTTTTTTTTTTTGTTTTTTTTTTGCACGGTCCCTCCCTCACCAAATCACTGCACTTCACCTCTCTCACATGTCTATACAAATGTCACCTTCTTTTTCTCCGCCGTGGAATTCGAAAACACATATTAAAGGCGAAATTTTAAAAAAGCACAACAAATGGTCTGCGCCATCAGGAAGGAGGCAAGAAAGAAAATCCATTACATTCTCATTTTAATGCACAAAATAGGTCATTATTTGATAGAGGAGAGCGTGTGTTTTTGTGAATAATCTTGGCCTTTGCTCATGTTTCCTCCACCATAAACACGTATTGTGTATGACTTCCACTTAAATAGTGGCTGCAGCTTCTAGCAGAGCAGCTGCATATTAGGAGCTATTACGTGATTTCATAGCTCTCGGAAAATTGCTTCTATTCAGCGCAAAGCGACCGAGGGGGAGGCAGGCTGTGCTGTGGGGTGGTGATGGTGGAGGGGGGGAGCGAGCGGGCGAACAGACGAGCGCGGAAAAAGCCCCCAACACACAATCATGTCTTTTCAATTGGAGATGGCAAGGTTGATGACAACATGACCATTGTGTTCTAATGATAAGACCACAAAGGCATCTGCCCCCTCATCAAGCTCGGCGCTGGAGAAACAGCATCAGAGGCTCTAATTCACTTCTCCAACACGCAAGCCCGATAGCATTATACTCGGCGTCCTCGCGCGCGTAATCACTGTCTGTCTCTGAGAAGACGCGTGCGCGAGGAACGGCGCTAAAAGAAAGAGATTTGAAGATGGAGCGTTGATGGCGAGGCCAAAACTTACAATTAAAGCTGCCAAGCCTGACGTGTGAAGTCTACCCCCTCGTCCCCTCACACTTAGCCCGGTTTATGTGTAGCAGCTATTACAATTAACCTGTCACTTAGTGCTAGTACTACCCGCGCGCGTGAGCGATGAAAGATGGGGTGGAGGGGGACCTACTGGCAGCTAAGTAGTGTTTAATGAGTGACAGCGAAAGGCTTACAGCGGGAACTTGGGATATCGCAGACACGGGCGTTCATCAAGTTTTAATTAGGTGTCATTGGGAGGCAGCCGCTGGCCGTGATGGTGCTAATTCCTGTTTTTGCCTCTCAACCACAATGTGTAATTAGTTAAGAGGCTGTGAGCTGGTCCGTGGCCAGTCTCTGGTGATTACGGACACAAATAAGGTAAGAGCTCCAGGCGTTAAGAGCGGCGTCTGCCTCTTCCATCTTCTGCCTCTTCGGAACTTGTTAGATTGCGGCTGCTTGTTGGAGAGACTGACTGTGTTCTGAATGCGAATGTCGGCTTGTTTTAGGACTTGCAGGAGAGACTGAATTTGAGCGTTTGGAAATGAAATCAAATATAGGCGTTTGTGTTTGCTGTTGCTGGATATAACTCTGTGTTGATCTCAGTCTCCCGTCCATATGGGATCAGTATGAAGGGCAGCATTGGGCTGATTTGCTCTATATAATAGATGACAGCTATGTGAAGGCCAGAGAGCTTATTCAATAGAAAAGAGAGTCTCTAAGAAGATAAAATGTTGGCGATTAAATCTGTTTTCTGTAATAAAATAACAAAAGTATTTGCTATTGCATTTGATCAATTTAATGAAGTATTGCTTAATGATATATATATTTTTAAATATCATACTGACTCCAAACTTTTGACTTGTAGTGTGTGCTTAGATTCAGTGGCCTCAAGTGGTATTGGTGTTTTCATCTGTATAAATGAAGTATAAGTGAGTTGGTGGTAAGTAAGTAGCAATAAAATCTTTGTGAATGACTGCTGACCTTTCAATTGTGCACATCCATTCAATGTCAAATGGTAAAATTCAAGAGCTGTCAGTCTGGGGTGTGTTTTCCTAAAGCACAAACAGTATAGCCACCTAAGGTCACAAGTCCTTTCTTCAATCACTTTTTGGAAAAATTGACTTGAGTGACTGTTATCTTGTTTTGGGACTTGTATGATTTTAAGCGTTAAGAAATAAAACTAAGCATGGACATTTGTATTTTCTTATAGATATTTACATTAGATGTCACCTACACTACTGTTGTCTATTGGAAAGAATGCGTCAATAGAGCTGCCATGTGAGTACAGGGTAGCTTTCCTTTGCAATGAATGTGGGAACCAAGCGGCATTAGAGTCGAAGATATATACATATATATATATATATATATATATATATATATATATATATATATATATATATATATATATATATATATATACACATATATCTATGATGGGGAGTTTTCCCAGTGGTCACTATGCAATTTTATTTTTAAATAAAAAAAATTATCATTTTACATCACTTTTCTACATTGATGGATAAGTGAATTTGGCCGACAATGAGCGTGTGTTTGTGTGTATAGTAATGTATTATCCTCTCTCCCTGTTAAATTTGATCTAATCCGTGTCCTGAATCACACCCCCTCTCCTGCTTTCACTTGTACAGAGGGAGTGATTTGTTTGTGAATAAATCTCCGTCATGAATGACCCGTTCACTTACCCGACAATACTACAAGTTTCTGGCATCACAGCGTCTTGTTGTCATATTTAATTTGCATTATATCCTGATTTTATTCAACCAAACTAGCATAAGCCGAGTATTTAGTGTGAGTTGGTTCCTTATGGTCAGTACAGTAAGTGACTGTATTATCATCAATAGGCCTGCTTGTTTAGCACAAAAGTTAACATACTAAAACATATAAAACTAAATCTTACCTATGAAATGTTCTGCCTTTATGCTTTGTTTTCCTTGTTTGCTGGTTACTAAAGTCCAGCATCTTCACATTGGCTTTAGTCTCTTGACTAGTGCTGTTGAATGACTTGTGTCCTGGGAGCACTGTACAAATGTGGCGGCGCTATTGACATACTCGGGGTCCGTATGCGATATCTAGTGTATACATCTATGGTATTTGCTGATGCTGGATATAACTCGCATTCAGTCTTGGCTAGACAGCTCTGTGTTGATCTCAGTCTCCTGTCCATATAGGATCAGTATAAAGGGCAGCATTGGGCTGATTTGCTTTATATAACAGATGACAGTTATGTGAAGGCCATGGCAGAGAGGTTATTCAATAGAAAAGGGAGTCTCTAAGAGGATGAATGTTGCCGATAAAACTGACAAAAACTTTTTTTTTGTAAAAAAGTATTTTCTGTTGTCGTTGATTAATTTAATGAATCATTGGTTAATAATATATGTTTTTAAAATATCCTACAAACTTTTGACTTGTAGTGTGTGTTTATATTCAGTGGCCTCAGGTGGTATTAGCCAAGGGATTTTTCATCCGTATAAATGAAGAATAAGCCAGTTGGTAATAAGTAAGAAGCAATACAATCTTGGTAAATGACTGCTGACCTTTCAGTAGTGGACATCCATTCAATGTCAAATGTTGAAATACAAGAGCTGTCAGTCTGGGGTGTGTTTTACTATAGCACATACAGTATAGCCACCTAAGGTTGCAAGTCAGTCACTTTTTTGGAAATTGACTTGAGTGACTGTTGTCTTGTTTTGGGACTTGCAGGAGAGACTGATCTTAAATGTACGGAGCCTGTGGGTATTTGGAGGTTCATGTATTTGCTAATGAAAGCAAGATGATAACTAGATTGACTTGAACAATGA